GACGATATTGCGTACCTGTATAGTTGGAGCCCAGCAACACAACTGTAGTGCGTTTCTTCCACGGCCTTTGAATGGCCCGTTGTGCCGGATGTAAAGCAGAGAGCGATCACTTCCTTTTCAACATCGGCCACTGGAAGATCAATAAAGCTTTCCTCCGGTACGTCCTTAAAATTTGTCACCGAAGTGAATCCAAGCTTTTCACCCACAACAAAAGCGCTCCTGAAAATTAACAAAAAGTATCAGAAGAGAGTGCGTTTTTAGTTTCTAGGAATATTGGCAACTTAAAACATTGAAACCACAGCTAGCCATCATCACAAATTGATTTTACGAGAAGTATATTGAAACGACAGCGTCATATAGACATGTTTAACGTAGATAGACATATTTAACACATTGAAGGGCTTTAGACGTTTCAGTGTTACAAAATAATAGCAAAAAAAAAAAAAAACTTGACTAGCTGAATACATTGGAAATCCTCACAAAGCCGTGCTAACTACTATTCAGGAAACTCAAAGCTAAGTTTAACATCAACGTGAAGAGATTTCTTCAGTCGCTTTTGCTAATGCGAAGATCAATATCGTTCACATAAACGTTGTGATCCGCGCGTGAAGTGTTGCGCCTATCTATCGTGATATCCCGAGAGATAGCCCACCCGAAATTGAGATTAAGTATAGACTAAACGTCGTAACACGCATCCTCGCGTAAAGGGGATGTAAGAAGGGTGCAAGCATAGAGTTATTATAATGTACGCTAGAGGTTCAACTGGCGCTAGTGTCTATGCGACTTCCGTGACGCAAATTGAAGCAGACAGCAACCAGTCTACTTTTCCAGTCTTCCTGTGTATTCCTATGGGAAAGCGCGCGTGCATTTTGTCTCTTCGCCAGAAAATAACACGGAACACTTTGGTTATTTGGGTCGTACCGAATAGTATGTACCTTGATTAACACTGTTAAAGTGTAATTGCTTTAGTTAGCGCATTTTTCTTCATCAGCGACCGATGTTTAACTTCGCTACATTTCAGTCCCAAACGTGTGTTCCGCAGCAGGTGTGTAGAAACAAGCGACGATTAGAAGCAAAATTACAATTGAAAGGAATGTAGAGTGTGTTCAAGGCTCGCCAGCAATCCGGCGACGCTTATATATTGATAATATACCAGTCCTGTCACTATATAAAAATGACCCCGTCGTGCATGAGCGGATAAAAACCTCCAAAACGTAGAGAATAAAGTCCGTGGGCTATAAAAGTTGTCTCTTTGTATTGTTTTCTCTGCCGGGCAGCTTTTATCGGGCGCTTGTTCTCAAAGATTTCGAGCGTGCGAGTGATATTTTGAACGTAGAACAAGCAGCTTCGCTCAGAGCAGAAACAATAAAACGGTACTTATTTAAAATCGGAATAGATTACGTGGCCTTCAATTAATTTTGATCGTATATGCACGTGTAGTTACTGATCCGGTGTTACTGCGTAGTTCTTGCCGTCTTTCTTAATTTCCAGATGTTCTTCGTTCGTTTGGCACGTATATCCCCCACGCTGAAAAGCGCCGACGTCGTGTTCGCGCTAACACTGTCCGACAGTGCACATAAATACCCGTACGAAGCTGTTTTAGCACCGTTTTCAGTGCGATGAATTCGAGAGAAAAACGCCGTAACTGACCAATTCTTTCGTCGGCCTGACTGAGAAATGTTCCAAACTACCTAGTACTTACGAATTATTTGGGATATTTGCTCTTATGATCGAGCGCAGGGAGAAAATGCACTCACTTTTTCCCATAGAAATGCATTACCGGAAGTCAATTTTCGACTGGTTGCTGTCTGCTTCAATTTGCGTCAGCACACTAGCGCCACTTGAACCTCTAGCGTACATTATAATAACTCTATGGGTGCAAGTTAGGAAAAACACCCTTTACACACTTTTTACTTGATGATTCAATATCCGAGTGAGTAAAAAGGGTGTGCTGGCGTCTTTCACCCCCTACACGGCCTTTTTATGCCCCACTTGTAGGTATGGTGTCTGAAATTGAGTAAAAAAGGGTGTATAGGCAGATTTTACGCCCTTCATTCACACGGTGTAAAGGGGGCGTAATGTTGATGCTGCAGTATACCCCCATGATCTCATAGGCGTTCATGTTTATTGCCCCGGTGAAACTGTTGCCGATGTACGGTGGTACAAACAACGAGTATAATTAATCCCCCACGCAGGTGCGTATGATTAGAAAGGTCTAGAGAACAATTTTTGCAACTCGGATCGAACTCTCTGTCCGACCCGAGCCGAAAATTACGTGTCACGTGTAATTTTCGCGTTTCATCAGTCTAACTTCGACTTAAAAAAACATCTCCGCTCGCAGAAGGTTAACGAAGACGTTTAAATATACAGCCCAGACAGCACACCGTATTGCGCCGATGTTTGAACTAATCGGAAAGATCGTGCCCATACCATTTTGGTCCAGCGAATAGATCACGAATGGGATGGGTCCCGCCAACACCATCAGAAAATACCGTACGCGACGACGTTTTTGGTTGAGTGTCAAGAGTGTCCTGCGTGAATCGGCTATGCCGGCGAGGCATTTCAAATTCTTGACCTCCTAAATTACAAAGCTAAAACAAAAAACAAAACAAAAAAACAGGACTAAACAAAACGAAATCTGCTTTCTTTTAGAGAAAGACCTCCTGCGCCGAAGCTTTGTACTAACTGTGGTGTCCTCATTTCGGGTAGTACAAGCTCACCTGACTGGGCCTCGCACTACTTATAGCACCTTCATTGAGATTTTATCTTTCTGTGTAGTTCTGAAAAAACAACGCCGCAAGGCAATCGCAAGTGCCGGAATCATCACATTCCCGTTAGGGTACGCGATTCATATCACTGCGTTTAGACACCAAAATATCCTGCGCCCCGACGCTTTCTCTTTTTTTTTCGGATTTTCTTTGGAACGCGTGAAACATCGTCTCTTGTTTCATGCTCTCAGCGTCTTAGCTTTGACCCCTGCTTCGACGGCGTTCGAATTTGTTTTTGTATTTATTTTGTGATCTCGCGGTCCGCACCAGAGCAGGCACGATTTTCTCGCGACTCTCCCTGGGCAATGCAGGTGGTCATACAAAGCTGCTGAGGGAGATTAGCTGCTTTGTCCAACCCCCTCTGATCTCGTCTTCTCATGAGCCTCCACACCTTCTCTTGTGTCTTCGTGTGGCTGTGTGGGAGTGCGAAGGCCGCTTTTAGCGAAATAGAGGGGTGGAGCGAAACACGTGACCGCTCTCTGCAGGACAAAAAAGCTCGAGGTACACCTAAGCACTTCGTATGAGTTGTGAATGCGAAAGCAAGCAAGCCGCTTGTCCGCTCCCTTTTTCGTCTGCTGCGTACTTTTCATCGCCGGTCAGCGCTTGCTCCCCCGGGCACGCTGACCTTGGACGTTCCGTGTTAACGGCGCGCTGATGGACACGCTGTGCCATGGGGTGAGCGGTCGTGGAAACTGACGAGCGCAGCGGCCAATGGGAGCCCCGGCGACGCGCGCGAGCCAATGGAACCTTTAGGATCGGGGAAACTCGGTGCCGTTTTCTCGCTTTAAACTGCCGTTTGCCAAGTTATCGTGAGTTGTAGGGACCACGTAGGTCCCGTTTCCAAAAAGCGCTCGTCAGTGTTCTCCTGTTTTTCGTGCAAGCAGGTCCTGACGAGTCCCATTTTGCGACTGTGGTTTCTCGTCCAGGCGGTGGTAGCTTTTCGTCGTGAACGGCCGGAATACAGCCATGCCTACCTTCTAGTAATGGCCGTTTATTTTGTCAGATCTATAGAATTATTGTGCTGAGTTTGTTGTACGGGTTTCGACAAAGACCTGCTCATTGGCGGCCGCGAGACTTCCGTTGAATGTAAGCGACCGCCTTCATTCTCAACATTGTGTTAGCGGATTGTTCTGTGCTGCCCGAATCGAATTATGCATCTATCACGGATTACTTGATATCGCTCTCTTATTGGTAAGTACTCTGCAAGTGTGCCTCTGATAGTCGTCCTGTTTCCGTCTCAATAAACCATTTTGCTGTTTACAAACATGAACTGTCGCTTACGTCCCAAGCAACTCCCGTCTTTGAAAGCCTGCCGAGTTTTGGTTACGTCACCAGTTCCAGAAAGCATAAAGGCTGCACGAAAATTAAAGTTGGAGATTTAAATAGGGTCTTCGGTTGTACAATTTAAAGGGGCCGTAAAACAATATCCAGTTGGAATGTTCAGGACCTTACAGAGGCGTACTGGTCCTAGTCTAGCCCAAGAATACTCGCACGGACTGCTACTGACTCAGAAGCGTCATGGTTGTGGTTGAAATTGCGAGGATCAAAGGGAACTATTTCTTTCAGTCTTGGCAATCGTCTATAAAGAGTTTAGTAGAACCTAGTAGAATCTTGATCGAAAAAAAAAAGGTGACCCAGGCATGTTTTGACTCATTTGCAGTTATTTCTTCATGCAGTCTTTTGGGTTATTACACCCTATCTTATGGATGTTCGTCATTGCGCCTTTTTTACTTCTCTTTCTGGCGGTGGTACACCCAACTTAGAGGGCCTACTGCGCGGTCATCACACCATAATAAAAAGGTGTAACCTTAATTTAAGGGTGTTCGGAATAGCGCCTTCCTTTAGGGTCGTTTTGCTACACCAAAGAGGGTGTTAGTTACAGGACAAGTCATTTAGGCCTGGAAGGGTGTAATGATGTTTAGTGTGTAGGGTGAAAATATGGAGTGGGTGAGCTCTTGATGTACAAACAAGAAAAGTTGAAAAAAAAATCGCTATTTGCTTAGAATATGTTTTCCTGCCAAACATTTTATCACGGTGAGGGACAATGAAGCAACGACGACTCTATTTTCCAGTCAGCAATGTTCGCTTATAACTTGTCATAGCTACCTAGCCGCATTAACGCCGACGCCATCATTGATCCGAACTCTACGATGACTAGGCGTGAGGTTTCTTTCATCTTTCGTGGGTGGGACATCTATCGTAATATTACAGTATTAATATACGTATACTTACCCGAATATGCGTGTCTTGAGTTAACTCTTTCAGAAGGTCGGCTTCGTTTGGTGTGGTGAGCACGTGACTGGCCTTTCCGTCCTTTATTTTCATCAGCAGTTCGCCTGTAAGAATTTTGAAAATTGCCAGAGATTTCTTCTTTTTTTACGCAAACCAATTTCAAACGTGAAGACTGCACTCGGTTAATTAGATCTAAGTACTCTCCTCAAACTACTTTAAAATGTAACAGTTGCGTATGAAAAAGGCAAACACCGCCGGAGGCCTGGTATTACACGCTGGCTCTGGGGCTAAATTAAAATTGGCACGCGAAGGAGGTAAGGACTAAACGAATGAAAGCAAAATAGATACGAATACCTTGTTTAACTCTCTAATTAAGCATTTAGAACTTTTACGCTACCCGTGAGGCGAAGCACTGCAACAGCTGAGGTGTGACGTTGGAGCCGCAATGGTGTCATTTCGGAGCAGATGGGCTGAATGAGCGGTAAAAGTGCAAGCGCGCACCATAGAGTCGGCATAGGCCGTTCCGTGTTAAACCGAGTACACACCGGACGAAAATTCCGTGGCTTTTTGGAACCAATAAGGGTTATTAACTAGAAAGCATTTCGTGAGCATGTTAAACAATCTTACTGGACACAAACAAGGACTGCCTTGGGGTTATTGAAGTACAGGGTGTCACAAAAGAAAATTTACACCATCTTTTTACCGCAAAAATAAACTAGGCATCGCCGAACGCTCATTCTCCGCCCAAAGGAAGAGCTAAAGGTCACAACCAAATGCCAAAGTTTCAGCCCGATCCGATAACTTAATCAAAAGTTATAAGTGATTTTATGAAAATTTCAATGGGAAAATGGCGGCCGACGGAGTTTTCAAACACATGGGGCTCTATTGCACCAGAAACCGAAAACGGGCGAAAATGGGCTCCATTTTCTCATTGAACTTTTCAGAAAGTCACTTATAACTTTTGATTAAGTTATCGGATCGGGCTGAAACTTTGGCATCTGGTTGTGACCTCTAGCTCTACCTTTGGGCGGCGAATGAGCGTTCGGCGATGCCTAGTTTATTTTTGCGGTAAAAAAGACCGTGTAAATTTTCTTTTGTGACACCCTGTACACTTCGAAAATCGCGCTGCCGAATTTGAAATTGAAGGAACGACAAAACTGCATGTATATGCATGAACCGTTCCTGTCGTTGGTGTGGCTCCCTGAACGTCTTATGCAATGCTATTGAACACGAACTAGCAGCGCCTTGGGGTTACTGAACAGATGGGGCAGTAATGACATTACTGAAATGAAATTACAGTAATTAAATTACTCTGTGATGATGAGTAATCTAATGATTTACTTTTTTTTACGCTGGTAACCTAGTAATATAATGAATTACTTTCAGGCAGTAATCTCAAGATTAATCACTACATTTGAAATTACTTTGTCCCAAATTAAAGATACCTTTTACGCGAGCTTTAAAAAAATAGAAAAAAAGTGATTTGAATAGTGAATTGTCGAGAAAAAGACAGAGCAAATAAACGATGGCCATCTGACCGCGACGAGGCCTCGTACGAAGAACTCGACAGACGCACAAAGGCGGGTTCGAAAAGCTGAGAAAAGCTTATGTATAAAGACATCGCTGGAATGCCACTGCCCATGAACTCCAGACAAGAAAGATTCATGACGTCACGCCATCAGGACGATACTATACTTCATTCATCCCTGAGCTGACAGTGCGGTGGGAGCTACGAGCTCACCGGAACCAATTAACCGCCTTCCCTTGATCACCTGACCCGCCCCTTTCTGTGCGTGTGGGAAGTAGAGCGTGGTTACGTGGCAAAAAATAGGCGTGTTACTGTTCCAAGGAGCATGTAGCTTCCGCCGCAGTGGCAGCTTAGGGATGAACGCTTATATGCTACAAGGCCAAGGGCACATCACCAGTGAAGTCACCACATTTTAAAACCTGAGAGGACAGGACAAAAAGATCTTCTAAAGGTTCGACCATTGTGAACAACAAACGACCGGCATAAATAATGAATCCCAAATACCTTGTCAGTACCCCAGAACGTTTCGCGCATATCCTTGACCTTGTTAAGTAAACCCGATTTTTGTAGTCGGGAAAGATGGGAATCGAGCAAAGCAAGTGCCGCTCGCGGTACGCCTCGCTGCCTTTCCTTCGGAAGTTTATGCAGGAATAAGCCAACGGGCAAAGAAACAGTTTTAGGGAACCGTTATTGAGCACCTGATACGACACGATGGGCACTCCGGTATGCACTGCGCATATTGGAGACGTCTGCGATAGCGCATGCGTAGTTTATATCGGAGGGCTTATCGTACCGTACCGGTGTGCGCAAAAACGGTTCCCTAAAAGTCTTCATTATTTCCACACGCTCGTTGGGAAAGTACACATTTTAGGAAGCTTGCGCCATCCCTTTCCTCACCTGGCGACGCTTCTGCCTAAAAAATATCCAGCCCCTTTTTGTAACAACGCGCTATAACCTGGGCTTGTAGGTTGTTTGGGAGCAATACTCTTCGAGAGGAATGATCGGAATACGTCAGCTAGTGCACTTAGCCAAATACGATTAGATTGCGTCCGAGCCCGAAGGGAAATGTTTAACGTGACGAATCCTTGTAAGAACGAGCTCCCATGTCCCGACTTAACAGACTAGCACGGATTATAACCTTCTAAATCAGGAAGACAAAAACATATCACCTTTTTACTAAGGACTTTCAACGTTGAATGATCAGCGAAACCGGTGAGTCGACTCTTTTTGAGTTGCATCTAAAGAAGAAGCTATTTATCATGTTCAACACTTAGGTCGTGTGCGCCAGAAAGACGACTTGAGGCGCATCAGGCTGTTGCGGTGTAAACAAGGAGATCTGTGTTTTGGTAGGTATACTGTAAACGAAATTAGCAGGATTGCTGCCTCAAGGTATTGAAAAGTTATGTCAGAGTAATTTCATTACTTATGGAAAGTAATTGTAATGGGAGGTCATTACTTTTAGTCTGCGGTGATTTGTAATATAATTTAATTACATTTTTGCCGTTTCATAAAATAATTTGTAATGTAATTTAATTACTTTTCAAAGGTAATTTTCCCATCTCTGTCACTGAAGAACAATTCCAAAATAGCGGACTGAAGTTTGAAGCGTGTAGCTCCACCTAACTTCACGCCCGTGGTTTCGCCGCCAGGCGAAACCACGGGCGACACGGCATGCAAAGAAACCACGGGCGCCAGGCGACACGGCATGCAAAGAAACTTTCAAGTAACTTTTTCTTGACGAATTCAGTTTCATGAAAAAGTGCCCGCGTATCGGTTTGGGCTGCCGACGCTAACCAATTATCAGAAACTTTTTATTACACTATGCACACAAATGTCGGTGTTGTGACATTGGTGCCCCAGTGTACGTTGAATGCTAACTAATGTGCAGTTTGGCATTTACAAAGGTTTGTTAATCGGATATATGTAAACGTGTTACTAGTCGTCTGCTTAAAAAAAAGTTGAGTGAAGACCTCTGGTTGTTTAGTTTATTTATTTTTATTTTTTGAAGTATCAGCGAATTTATGAACACTTCGTAACAAGTTTTTCCACCAGCCGAAAGAAAACAAATACATGAAGATCCATTGGTGGATTCTTCGGAAAGGCGTTAGCATGACCCTTGGAAACTTCAAACACTTTTAGCTTTCGTTTTCACTTCCTTTATTTTTTTGCTGCATCTCTTTGGCCTCGTTACGGGGTCAGTGTTAGCGTTACACAAGCACGAACGTGTGTGGCGTTTCCCAAGGGTCATGCTAACGAATTTCCCAAGAATTCACCAATATATATTCCTGTATTTTTTTTTCAACATTCTTTTGTACTCTGTCTGCGAGAATGCGTCGACGCCCATGGATACGGTCATCTATATCCGTCGCGGAAAGAATCACACCCATACCACTCGTGGAAGAACCAGATCCATATCACTCGTGGAGTGAACTGAAACCATCGTTGTAAGTGCACGAACAGATCACAGCTTACTCACCGCTTCTACGGAAACCCAGAGCGACGGAAAACCGACGACAGCATGGCGGCAACTAAGCACGCCCGCATTCCATCGCGTCGCGTCGCAACACCTTCTACACAACAAAGCGTTGTGCTGAATGATATGTCGTCATCAGAGAAGGCAAACGCTGGACACAGATTGGACACGACGATTCCGTCAACGTTCGGCTCATACTTGATTCGAAGCCGAGTCTTGACGCAGCACTCATTCCCAATTTGTGTCCATCGTTGGCCTTTTCTGATTAAGCTATCTTACTCAGCACGTCGGCTTGGTTATCTAGGTGTTGCGCGGCACCGTTTCATCTCTGGCAACGCGGCAGCTGTGCGCGAGACTTTGCCGAATACGAAAGGACTCGTTTTGACGAGACCCTGGCGATGTCTGTCTGTTTGTCAGTGCCGGGGGTTCACGCGTGCTCACGTCAGCGCTACGGACTAATGGAAGCGTCGCACGCGAGGACTGACAAATGAAAGACGCTGCAGGGTTTCCGCCAAAACGAGCGTCCTAATGCTAACTCATTAAAAATAGTTTATGTAATAAATTAGCTTGGATACCATGATTCTATGCTCTAATGCCAGCGGAAGTGAAAGCGAACCAGGTTGTGAGTGCTTTTTTATGGGGACATTGTTTTCCCGTGATTGTGTTCGTACGCTAGCTAAATCAGGCGCTGGAAGCAGATGTGCTCTTGAGTGTTTATTGTATATATTTTTGAATCACGAACACGAACATCAGAGAACTTGATGATAAACGGCCTCATTCAAAAGCAAAGAACATGAGCACAGTTTGCTAGTGGCTAGTTAGCGGCCAATGGCTATCGCAGCTGCGGAGCGGCCGTAGCGGAGGGTTTCCTGCACAGCACTGGATTTTTGTTTGTAACGTGGTCAAATGCAACTAATAGCGGCGCGGCGGCACGTGGAAAACAGACGCGCTACTTTGGCTCCCAATTTCCCTACCGGGAGCCTATGTAGGAACTTCATGTGAAGCTAGGCCGGCGCGAGCCTTATATACTCCGTTGACCCTTATGCTAGACTACGGTGGGAGCTACGTTGCCGCCGGACCAATGAGCCGCCTCCCTCTTATCACCTGACCCGGCTATTCGCGCGTGGGTATGGCCGGGAGCGCGATGACGTGGCGAAAGAGAGGCGTGTGACTGGTCCAACGAGGACGTACCCTCCACTGTGGTCTCAGCATAGGGGTGAACTGAGTATAGGTGTCGCATATATATACAAGCTCTTATTCACATGACAATCTTAGACACAGACATTTTTGTAAAAAAACTAGAACCAGAACTAACTGCGGCACACAACTATTGAATCGGCAAATTCCAAACTTCCTGAACATTTACCCTAATTGATATATTGGAACACACTTCCTCTCCAGAGACCCTCAGGAATCAATCGAAGGTGCATTTCTTAAATCTTACTGAATTGCATTTAATGGCTTTTAGTGTCTTTAATGTTTTTCTATATCATATTGTGTTGATGCGTTACATGTTTTGTATATACTAGTGTATTTGCAGGTTTTGTGTTGTATTTATGTTGCTGTGTTGTAGTTTTTGCTTGTGTTGCGAGTGTAGTCTGGTGCTAGAGGCCAGTCAGGCGATATTTGCTGTCGCCTTTTGCCTCTGCTCCAAGGAAATCCTGTATTGTAAAATCTTCAATAAACAAGCACGCTCCCAATACTTAGAATTGTTAGGACCTGATGACACGAACTCCAGCAGCACGGAAATTTGAAGAAAAAAAAAAGGAAGAAAAGGGAATAGGCAGTGATGAAAGAAATTGTTGTGTTTTCAAGGAGTAATTAAATAATTTTAAGAGAATTTGCGTGAAAATAAGGTGACATCCACCGCAAATGAAGCCCCATCTCGCGCCCTCTAGGCGAGTGAGCTGCTGAAAAGAGATCAGCCTGGTCTGAGATTTCATCCCGGGACTTCTTCAAGAGAGGGGAACCCTCAGCAACTGAGCTAACCAGAAGCTAGCAGTCAGGGGAGCAAACGGATGTTATGCATTTCCCTGGGTCATACTCATAATCGCCGCAAGGGCGAGACCAGACGTAAATGCTAAATATAATTAATTACATTAGGGGAAGTCCCCAAGGTGGAAAAGATTTACGTGGGAAGAGATTGCGTTGGGGCTTTGTATCTCCCCACAACAAGCCACCTTTCGTTTGTCGCCAAATATTTATCACGCGCTGTGCCCCATCGTGTCACCTTGTGGGTTAACTCGTGCCCCCAGCGAGCTTCTTGTTTATCGCCAAATATCTACCGCTCAACCCGCTCCGCTAGTGTCGCCTTGTAATGTGGCGCCGCAGACTGTTGCCGCGAAGCGGCGTGGAGGAGGGGGGTCGGCTGGGTTAACACGCGGTCCAGTGATACAACACCCCGCCGTCCGCCACTGCACCTTGAACGAGGGGGACCCGCCGCCGTCCTCGGTGAGAGTTGTCTTCGTATCTTAAACAACGAACGGCGAAAGGGTCATTGTCGTCTTCTGCTTGCTGAAGAGCGGGACATTCGGTTAAGCAGCACCAACATCAGACTTATGTTTTTGGGAAAGTAGCGATGCACGCTGACCTTATTCAGTATACGTATCGATGCTTTGTAAATAAAAAGCTTAGCAAAGGCTGATTGAACCTGCGTACCTTGTTCTGATGCCAGCTCAGATGGTATGACGACTCCTCCAGCAAACACGACTCCGTACATGGCAATGAAACTTTCCAGCGAATCGTCCACATGTACGAGCACTTTGTCGCCTGGCTTTACGCCGTGGCTTTGGAAACAGGCGGCGTATTGATGAAGCATCTTCAGCATCTCTGAACTCGTTACTTTATTTGCTTTGTAGATCTACAACGGCAGAAGGTTGAATAATTATTATTTTTAATTGTCATAACCGTAATGGCAGGAAGCCTATTTTGGAACTACCAAAAGCCGGTTATGAGCATGTGTAATACTGTGACTGAGGACGCCATGTCTGGCGTCTCACAATCTAGTCTCTACTCTAGATCCAGGTTAAGTGCCCAGAAGGGGAATGTACGAGTATATTTCTGGCGGCTTTGGAGTTACCAGTATGTCCACCCCTGCAAATGCATGTTTACTTCAAATAGCATCCGAGTTTTTAGTTCCTACCTTCCGTGAAAGTTGCCCAGGGACTTGCGAATTGTTTTGCTGACGAGAAGAGATGGGTATTTGTATTCTACCGTACAATTCAGTATGATTTGTCGTGGACATTTTGGCGACCGGAATTGTGCTGTCTTTACTCGCCGTCACTCAACAAATCAAAACAGCTGCCGAAACAATTTTTATCTTGTTCGAAGGATATGAATCCGTGATATTGAAAACTTTTGGACATGTTTTCTTCTTTACAACAAGGTCAGTTTCTTTCACCTAAGCTTTTTTTTATTATTAGAAGATAACCCTCGTTTTATATGTCGTAGGAACCGTTGCGTTTCAGTTTCTTTGGGGATGAGCACAAGCAATAAAAACGTTTAAGAAGCAGTAGATATCAGGTTGTTTTTGTTCCCGGACCTCGATGGAGCACCCTAGCTACCGTCAGGAACCGAGAGAGGAGATCGTGGAAGATGTGGTCCGGATGCGGGTTGGAGTTGAAGAAGACTTTTTGCTTCTTCTTGTTGTGGCCGACGGCGGAGAGTCAATAGGCTTGGAGGCGAAGTTGAAATGAATACAACTGATAAAAAAAATTTACTTGAAAAAAAAAAAACACTTACGGAAAATGAAATGACACACTGCAACTAACTGCCGCGCACGGCCTACGTAGTTAGACGGTTACAAAAACGGACGCCTTGGCGACAAGTGGCCTCCCGCGCACGGTGAGGGCGGCAGCGAAGCCGCAGAGCAGGGGCTGTCGCACACGACAGAGGTAACGCGGCGAGCCGCGGGAGAGAACTAACGGGCCACAGGGGCCCGTTCAAACTCGACCAATTTTCGTCCGGTCGGGGTTATGACAGTGCGCCGAAACCTGTCCCATCCATTAAGGGTCTAGTTCCAACCCCGTTGGGTACAGGCCCCGAAGCATTCTCAAACAATTAAACCAGAGGCCATTGCTGTTGCCGAGGGGGGCACTAAGACCGGGCACAGTGGTTGAGAGTCTAAACCCCCGACATATTTATGTTCTAGGGAAGATATACATATTCTCGATTTCGGCGAGAATCGCCGATACGTGCCTCACCAGCAAACCTTCCATCACCAGAGAGCGCGGGTAGGAGTCTCAACGAAGGCGCGCCAGATAAATTTGGGCGTCCGGGGAAACCGTTTCGGCGGAAAACCCCAGGATGCTGGGTCCACGCCGGCGCGTACACACCTGCCGCGCCCGTTGCCCCTCCAGCCAACGTCACCAACCACTGGAACCTGAACCGAGGCTTTCGACGAAGTCGTTCGAGCTCGAGACGTTGCCAAGTTTTCGAAAAGGCGCGCCAGTCGTTGATAGCAGCACTCCAGCGCCCCGAGCGCCCGCGTAGATTTGTGTTGTCGGAGGCCCCCTGCCCCGGGTGAGAGGAAGACCCCCGGCCATGACCCGCCGTGGGAGAGGCACAGCCCCGCCCGTGGTGGAAAAACTATAGCGATAGTACGTATCGGGACGTTACACGAAATCTTTAAAGAAAAAGCCGTCTCGGCGGCGCGCAAAAATGCGAGCACCTCTACAAAAGCTATCTCTTTTTTGGCATTTCCTATCGATTGCAATACAAATTACTTGTTGACAAAATATTGCACCTTTGAGCCCTTTAATCAGGATCATGCTAGCATCGTAACTTGCCTGTATCGTCTTGGTTACACAATCAAGATGATGGTGATAACGATCGAGTATATATTACGTATATCACGGCAACGGCAAGCCTTCTCAGCAGGCTTCTGGCTCAAAGCTGGTTTACACAGTGAGTTTAGTTGCAACCAAGTGCGCTGTGCAGCCTTGGGATCTCTCAGGACGAGAGAACAGATTGGCACTCTGGCGCCATCATCCAAAATATGGCCTCGTAACTGCATTTCACTAGAGTTAAGGTTTTGCAGTATTTGCGAGATAAAATGTGCCCACTATCTATACAAATGGTCGTTCATAACATTGTGAAGTTTTCAAGCCTGAAAAGAGTATATGATGCCCGACAAAATAGGAAATGTGCAAGGTAATCTCAAGTGTTCCTCCGCTACCCGAGAGATGGCGCCAGGGGGTTCTCTCATCGTAATATACCACGAGAAGTTGTAATGTGCTTGGTTTCAAACACACGTAAGAAAGTGCACCATCATTAATTGCTGGGGTATGCATACAGAGGTAAACATAACAGCTCCTGCACTGCGCTTGATGCTGCATACTTACTAATGCAGTTCGTTCACCTTGTAGAAGCAGCCTTTCTTTTATGGCCTGACAGACTGAAATCTTTGGTACAGAACCACCGGGATAGGGTGAATGTACAATGCCGTCTTCGATGCGGGCTTTCAGCGACATTCCTCTGATATCTTAGGGTTCCTCCGGTTATTATGTCTAGCGACTCTAATCTGAAAGGAAGACAAAACAAATGAAAGCATGACAACACATTCACCAATTTAGAAACCATGCCTGTTTGTCAGGTCAAAGGTCTGTTATTCAAAGGCTTGCCAACTCACGAGTCTACATTTATACTCCTCGGAGGAAGATAATTTTTCCTATTTCTACAGCCGCCGTATCCTGTTTTAATTCCCTGCATGAGACGCTTGGTACTGCGCTATTTTCAAAATAATATTTACCTTTCTAATGTACCGTTGTTAGTTCACCAGTCACAAGTACGCAGCAGTTTATCCCAAAACTGATAGCACTTGAGTAGAGTGCTTTGTGACGCACGGCCCGCAGATCTGAAACTAAAATCCGCTTTCTGTGGCGTTTTAAATTCCATAGCATTTCTCTGCGCAAAGCCCCGCAGGTGCCACCTCCATGTGTAGGTGTTTGCTAAGCGACTTCACCGCGGATTCCAAACGATGTGGGTTTACCCACCTACATCTGGCTGCGCGCGACTTTCCCGTGTCCGGGAAAAAAAATTTAGCAGCGCTGTGTTTATTCGCCGTACAGTCCCTGCAGTAGCTGCGACACGTCTCGGCAAAGTTGTTGGACAATCGGCGTCGGGTTCACGCAGCGTGGGGTGCGTCAACAAAAGCGTTCAAATGAAATAGACATCTTACCAATTTCTTCCCAACGCTTTTGTTTCAAAGCGCATGAAAGCGCGACTCCCTGGCCGAGCTCTTGGCATTGACAGTGCAACAACGGCGTTTCGTTATCAGCTTTTTTTTTCCTTTTTTTTTTTTTTCTTCAGACAACGCGTGCAGTGGGCGTCGGGTACTGCAAAAACCGGCTCTGTGTGAACGCCTCCGCTTCGCTCGCAGCGGACCGAGGTTCGAATCCCGCGGGAGGCGGACGTTCTTTTTCAAAGATTTGGAAACCTCGACGACGGACAGCCTACGCCCTGATACGCCAAGTACAATGTCAACAACAACTACTACTATATCAACAACGAATGTAAATTCTAGTGGTGGAAAGATCCGATGCCAGGTATCGCTGTAAAAGGGCCTCCTAGTTGTTGACCTAAACCCGGGGTAGGCTTAGTTAATCCCTTCGGGGCCCACCCGGCGAGGCAACAAACAACTTCGGCCTTTTTTCCAGCAATACCACACCCCTGAGAGTATTTTGAATGGCTCAGGGGATGAACCTCTTATTAAAAAGTAAACGCTCGATCATGCCGTAATTATTTGAAAGCCAATGAATCAAGCCGCTCCAATGCAGTTCGAAGCCATGAGTTTGTTTCCCCGCACGGCGCGTCGTAGCCTGTATTTCTATTGTAGTGTTTGTTTTTCTATTTGTGTTGTTCGCGCACGACTTCAATTGCAGTTTTGAATTAATCTCTGTAGAGTGGATATTCACTCAGCTGGAAGTCATGCTTCAGGGGCTGAGAAATCGCTTTCCGATCAACTTTAATGCAGTCAAAGCCGCGACTTGCGGCAGGTGTAAAGCGTACGGAGCTACGCCGTGGCGAACTCGAAAACCTCTAGGGCTCATCCCAGCGCGCCAATTGGAGGGCAGTTTTTCCAGGAACCGTAGTAAATTTAAACAGCAAAATGAGGGGTAATTTTTTTTTTTATTTTACCTACGACTATTGTTAATGCTAAAATTCCACACTGTAAATATACGTCCTTTCCGTCACGATTTCGTACTGTTCAGTCTTTCCCCAGAGTGCAATCGCTCTCGGGGAGGAGACAACCGACAGTCACATTGACCACTATACGATAGGAGCTTACTGTTCAGACCAGCGTTCGAACATGACTATCCGCACGTCGTCGATTGCACCTAATCCCTCAAGTGGTATTAAACTTTTTAATGTAAAGCGGAATGTCAACCTTCGACGCCCCGCCCCCTCCGATCACGGCCCGACCAGCGGCATCAATGCCCGACAGTTTCCGTCATCTCATCTTGTTGTTACACCACTGACATGGGAACACACGGCCACATCGGCGATAATTCCAGTCTTCTGTTCACAACCCACAACACTGCCATCACGATGTTTCTGCTATGTTGTTGACACGCACAAATACAGATACAGAACCATGTTGAACGCCGGTTGCACTCGGCATCGGAAAACAGAACCGAACTCAGCACGGAAGGCACCCAGGCAGCCGGCAGTAAAACCTGCCTGTCTTGGACACAGCTCTTGCGATTTCCATAACGTCGAAAACGTCGACGCAGTTCCGCGAGGTTTCGCTACTGTACTGGGTGAAACAAGGAGACGGTAGGCTCTTTAAATCGACCGGAAAATTCGGTTTCTCAACCTATCGCTCTACGACTTTGTGCAGCGTTGCCCACAGATGGTGCATTTTTTTTTTTTTTTTTGTAAAAGCTGCAAAGAGCGAACTTACCTGAGGAAAAAGTAAAGAAAGAAAAAGGCTTAGCTCCTATGGAAACTCAGCGACGCCACCGGCCTTGAAACAACACGGCGCC